GAGGAAGAGGTTCCAACGGAATGGTGTGAATCGGTGATCATACCGATTTACAAGAAAGGTGATAGGTCCTCCTGTGAAAACCACAGAGGAATTAGTTTAATCAATAATGCCTCTAAACTTCTCGCCGGTATCATACTCCGTCGATTGTCTACCACACGTGAACGGTGTACGCGTGAGAACCAGGCCGGTTTCAGACCTGGTCGAGGCTGTATTGACCACATCTTCACATTCCTTCAAATTCTATAACATAGACACTCCTTTCGTATACCCACCATTTTTATTTTCCTGGACCTAAAACCGGCTTTCGACTCAGTCGACCGCTCTAAACTCTGGAGCTGCCTTTCCCTGAAGGGAGTGCCCGAGAAGTTTATTTCAATATTACAAACCCTCTACAATAATAGCCGAAGCCGAGTTCGAGCTTACGGCACTTTTTCATCCGAGTTCACCACGGAAAGTGGTGTTCGACGGATAAAAACGACCCAGTTGGCGGGGTATTTGAAAGTGAAAAAAACAGCTGCTATGCACATCTTTCGCCGCTCCTCCCTCTCCTCTTTGTGGCAACCGGTACTAACATTCGTGACTGAACAGATGGATACTTCACGAGGGAGTCGCACCTTAACTTGGCTTGATTGCTTGTGCACCTCTGTGATCTGATGCGCTGAAAGTAGTGGCTTCTGTCAATCGGACGATCTAATCATGCATGGATAATTGACGGGTGGAACTCGGACAAGTTCAGTCTTCCGGTTGGAGTTGGCATCCTAGTCAGTCCAGATTACGAAACCTATGATACTGATGGCCTTCAACACGAAGACCGTGAAGTGGACTGGTCAACAAGGTCGTCTTGCGTGTAGAGTAGAAACCCTGGTGGTCGATCTTTGCTACTTACCGGAGGCGTAAAATTGGGTTCCCAGTAGGACAAGCCACTTAATGCACCGGGTTTGTCGTCGAGGTATTTCCTTCGCATATTAGCAGACGAAGCCAACACAGCGCGGATTAGGCCCCGTGCTGGATAACAAAGTCGAGGCCTCACTCATAGATCGGATCATCGTTGATAATCGCTTCAATGAGGCGAGGCTATGGGCTTCAGTTCAATTTCGGAAAGGAAGTTACATCAGACGGTGTCTTTTCATTACTTCGGTTAGGCCTTGAAACTTTTCGCAATTTCGACACCGCGAGTCTCGGATGCGGAATAGCCTGACACACGGAAAGTGAAGCATAAGGATTAGGTCGTATATGGAGGGGCTTGTATGCGTATTCTGGAGACACGGCATACATCTAGATTGAACGTTTTAACGGTTCTAGCTAAAGGCCAGCTCAGCAGGTGATATGAAACTAGAAGCGGTGTTCGTCAAGGATGTCCCATCTGGCTATTCACCCTCAATTTTGTCCTAAAAGAAATGCCGCAGAATGCACTAAGTGCTTTCCAAGATGTTGGCATTGCATGGTAACCCTGCGAGTCACAGTAGGCTGACGACATCGTTTATCTCTTCATATATTGAGAACGGGTAGAGCGCACTCGGTAGATGGACGTTTTGTTACTCCGTAAGGCAAATGCTTTGCCATCTGAGTGATGCGCAAGACCGTGCATCGTCTACCCCAGCTTGTGTTTGATCAATAACAATAGCCAAATGCATGTCCTACTTGGATAGTTGCACGACAATTGACGATAGCATAACAAAGGTGGTAACTACTCATGTCCAGGGCACGGACAGCATACACAGAGCAGAATAGCCTTGGGTGCGGTGGTGCTTTCTTGAACCTGAGAAATTGTGTACCGCACATCTGCGAGATGAGTTCTGCCCTGAAGTTGCGGTGCCCTAGGCTAGCGCATGGAAGACATTCATCATCCAGTGGTCATCGACTGTCGCGCAGTCTGACACAAGTTGGATGGAGCGAGCGAGCGAGTAAGCAACACTGAGGCGAGCCGATGTGTACTTGGGAATGATTCGACGGGGAATTCTCTCACATCGAATTATAGTGGTTAAGACACATCGTGCATGCCCAGCTGTCATTTACCGCCCCATGTTGAACCAGATTGCGTGGGGTCAACAGATAACATAGAAGTGAGGCATAAACCAATGCACAGAACAACAAACTGTCCCTCATCTTCCAAGATAGGTCTATTTTACACGTTCTCATGCAATTTTTGAGCCTGACATTGATCAGTGAAGTTCGCTTCCCTGTGTTTCTTTGTAGGGATAAGATGATTTGAGACCCCGGTGTTTGAAATCTGGGACAAAGTATCACCTACTTAAACATTAGGTCTAATCAATTTAGACATCATATGGTTGCTTAAATTATTTATTCCCATAAATTAGCAGTAAGCCCTCACGAGAATGGGACTCAGTCCTTTGACAGTATATCAGTACTTTAAAACTGAAGATCAAGAAATAAAATTTGTTTACCCATAATAAAAAACACTTTGTATACCGTCATACCGTGGCTTCATGCAAAGCCTTCCAGCTACGCAATGAGGATAAATTGCAACTCATGCATAGAGCCGCAAAAATCAAAACTAAACCCAAGAACTAACATGACGGAGTAAGCTGTAAAACGCCATTACTACTGGTCACCAAAAAAACACAAGTCCGAAAAGTACCGTGGGCTCAAAATTATAATGAAGTACAAATGTGGCAGTGAGAAAAAACAACACAATACTCTGTTGTGGAATGTAGACTTGGTATCTGAATACATGGAGGGGAGTAGATGATTCTTGGTTGAATGCGTGCGTATTAGCGTCACGGTTAGGATTCTCGCACATCCAAGCGCGCATTAGGAGAAGTCACCAGAATGATTCGGGAATACAACAAGGCCGCAGACAGGGGGAGGAGCGACTGTGCACATTCCCAAGGGTGCGATCTTAGACGCTGAGATCGGCGGAAAGCAACAACGGTGCAAGGCAGAGTGGTCGGAGCACAGAATAATAAATTCAAGTGTGGCAGTAAGAACAGACGATGATTAAAGCTGGGCAGGATCACAAGCCAATCACAATCCTTGAGCTGGTTTCCATCAACCACTCTCCACGTCCATCAACAATGACGGATTGACATCTGAATGAGGAGGGAAAACGGATTTTTCTAATACACTTTCTATTGGTTTAATAGGTCAAACAATAAAAACAGATACAAGAAAATTATTATGCTATTATTCCCACTAGTGACGTCGTCTGAGGACCCCTGTTGTAGCGGCAAACGAGCATGGGCACTTCAATTACTCGGTCAGATGAAAAGAGCAAAGATTTCAGAGCGGTGTTCGTGCATGTGCTAACGAGTATTGTTCGATCCTATGGACCCGTGGACTGACTAAACGGTTGTGCGCATATTGAATGTGCACAAATAGGCAACAGCGGACCTTCGAGCACGTGAATACATGTAGTGGTTACCAACGCCAACAGTCGTGATCCGTTGAACATTTTAATAACGTTTGCGATGGAACAACCTGATTCAGACATTGCACAATGTCCAATGCATGTTATTACTAAATTGCTACAGTCTTGGACGAGTGAGAACTAGCTGAATCAATCGATCAATAAAGAGATATTCAAATGACGAACGACCAATCCAAAAAAGGTCAAGGACGGCGATTTGTACAGGCTGTTACACGGAATATTGCGGGATTCAGAGAAAGATTTCCGCGGGTGTTGAAGATTGGGTTGCTTGAAGCACACGGCCAGTGGGTTATTCAATAACAAAACCCCCATATTTGCACCAACCTAAATAACACTGCATTTAAGTTGCTTAGTGCAATCTAGATTACGTATTGTTATATTGTCTGTGGAAGAGAACGATCTCATGTGTACAAGATCACATCTCAGGCATAAATTTAAACTAACTTGCATATCTAAATCAATCAAAAGTTCAGCCCATTGAGCCTCATGTTACTGAGAATAGACATTTACCTTCAGTGCGAGAGCTCACGTATGGACGAAAAAGGGCGCATGTGATCAGTTCGGCAGCTGTTGGTCGATCCTGAGCAAGTGGGCGAAGTAGACCCTGAAAACAATGCACAAAGGAATAGTGTGATNGTGATCATTATAAAGACAAATGATCAGAATTCTCTACAGACACCTATGGATTGATACTCAGATGAAGAGATCATTGGAAGGGTAGCCCATGTAGACCAGCCCTCAGAACAATCGCAGTATGGTGTTATATATATATATATATATATATATATCAAGCTTCAACGGTCATCAAGTAGAGGCCACACGAAGCTCACAAGGTCAGCTTCTTGGGTATCCCCGAGCTTCCTTTGGCTATCCGCGCTCACCCGTGGACAGGTCACTGGAGCGAATACACATGGGGAGGGGTAGTTTACCGGTCAAGCCCTCCCCGAGGAGGCAACATCTTTTCGTTGTGCAAAGGAAACCATACTTAGTTCTTGAATTATGATAAATTTCGGCCCACCTACCGTATAGTTAAAAGACCGATTGAAAAATAAATCCACTCCATTACACATAGAAAAACCAAATAGGACAATTGATGCCAACCAATTTTTTACTATGTGACGATGTCTAAAACCGAGCTTGTTGCTCACTCACTATTCGTGTGCAGCAGACAATCGATGGTGTACAGTTCTTGGAACATGGGTAACAGTAGCGTACAAGCAACGCATCAAGAGTTCGTTATCAAACACAGTAAACCGACTGGGAGGATTACATTAGAATATAGAAAATGAACAAGATAAAAGTAGATAGACTTTCTGGAATAAAGTGCACAAACCAGCTGCACAATTATTTTTGAGAGAAAACCAGTGAATCATCGCCTAAAAGCATTACACAATGAGCACGTACCTTAACGACTGACATCAGCGAGTGCGGAAGGACCGACAGGTCAGGCAAACACTCTGTTTCACGTAATCTTTCCCAAACGGAAGCAGACATGGGACCTCCAGCCTGAAGCGAGAAAAAGTTGAAACCATACATCAAACAATCGTTTAATTACCTCGTGTATACAGCACAGAGCTCTGTAATCAGTTGTCGTGAAGCGATAACGATGATGGCAATTGAACAAGTAAACGCTGGGTCAATGTGAAGGTGTTTGATAAACTTAAAACACTGTTTTCCGTCACAAATTTGAACAGAGAAGTCAGAAAAATGGGTTTGCACAATGTATTCATGGTCATTTCGCTGCATCTGCACACGTGCATACTGCAGTCCAAGTGATTTTTATAGTCAGTGAGATAACAGATTTGAGAGAGAAAACACAAGATCGCTAATCACAACGGACAACGCAACGCAAAAACACAAAAAGGGGAAATGAGATAGGGCAGGGGGGGTTAATCACTAAGGCAAGGCTGTGACTAACCATTCGCGTTGTTTGCATAGATCAGGTTTGAGAGTGTGAATGGTTAGCTATTCCCCCCTTTTTGTGTTTTTGCGTTGCGTTGTCCGTTGTGATTAGTGTTTTTCTCTCAAATCTGTTATCTCACTGACTATAAAAATCACTTGGANCGTGTACAGATGCAGCGAAATGACCATGGATACATTGTGCAAACCCATGTTTCTGACTTCTCTGTTCAAATGTGAAGGTGATCAAATTAGTTTGGATATTAACTCAACTACTACCTCATAGCTGTCCGCTTGAATAAAAGGAGCAGAAGGAAGATTAGAATGCTGCGAACAGAGTGAAAGGGAACGTAAAGAACTCACATGGACTAAGGTTGCAAGGATAATGAGTAGCTGCGACCACGGAATTGAACACCAAGAGATCACGAACGGCCACTATAAATCAAACTACCGTNATACTAGGACCACTGTTGAAAGCCAATTGAAAGTTTGCAAGAGCGCGACCACTGGAAACTGAAGGCAAATAATGTCTACCCAGCGTGCTAGTATAATTATGAAGAGGTGATGATTACCCATCGAGCTGTTCTATCCAATGACCATAGCATTGGAACCACTGAACGTTCGATATCACGGATACGAGCACCGATGACATGTAACCAAGCAAAACTGACGAAAGGTGATTTTTATACGAATCTCTGTGGGTAATGCCGTAGTCATTTATGGTAGATTCAGATAGCGAAAGATTTTGCACTAAAATTCAGTTGGTACTCATGTACCACTCAATTTCCATCTGAACATCGAAATTCGCTGTAAAACAACTTGTTGAATGATTGCTAAAGAACAAAAATAAACGGTACGATCCTTACTGAATGATATAAGGTAATGCCCAATGCGTATAGGTCTCGCCCAGTAGCAGCCCGTGCAGGAGGACTGGGGTCGTTTAGGCGAGGGAGATAACGCCCGTCACCAAGATCTTCCCCATCTCGGTCTTCTCCGGCACGAGAGGCACGTCCGAAGTCAGCCAGCTTGAACATGATACCCGTGGTATCGCCGGTCAGAAGAAGCTGAAATCACGGAAGCATACGTATGAATATCCCAAAGCGCAATGCGATCCTTGACAAAGACAAACATTCAACTAAGTGGAAACTTTTGATTCCAGAAAAGCAAAATCGAAAATAGTTATGTTCTCCTCCGCGGAGGGGAAATTTTCTCCAGTCAGTTCAGTTTTTACAACCAGTAACCAAGCACCTTTGTGTGGTAGTTATGATTGTTATCTTTTTCGATTAAACAGAGCAGAAGACTGCAACGACTGCGAAATTCACCGTGGAATGAGTTTGATTCCAATCGTCACCAAGTTACTAGCCTCCTTCATACTCAGACGTCTGACACCGTTCATGGATAAAAGTATCCGCGAAAAACAAGCAGGATTTCGACCAGGTCGCGGTTGTATCGATCAAATCTTCACTCTGCGTCAAGTCCCCGAGCAACGACAAACGCATCGTTGACCAACGATTATCATGTCCCTTGACTCAGTTGATCGTGAATCACTTATGGGTTCGCTTCTTCGCAAAGGAATGCCGCAGCAGTATGTGAACATACTGAGTTCACTTTACTCACATACTTGTGGTAGCATAAGGGTCTGCGGTGAGCTGAGTAAATCGTTCGTAACTAGCATCGGTGCTCGTCAAGGGTGCCCTCTTTCGCCATTCCTGTTCAATTTCGTCATAGACGAAATACTGGAGAACACACTAAGTGGTCTCCAAAACGTAGGTATTGAGTGGTTAGTTGGCGAAAAACAATGTGACCTAGAGTACCCTGACGACATCGCTAGCCTGTTTGAATGTATGGAGGATGTACAAAGAGCACTTGACAGATTAGCAAGTTCTGTCGCTCCGTTTGTCATGCGCTTTGCACCTTCAAATTGCAAAGTGATGCTGCAAGACTGGGAGTCGCCGAGTTTAGCTCTGAAACTAGATGGTCAAGAATTAGCTCAAGTTGACTGGTTCAAGCACTTAGGTAGCTGTAACCAACGATGGTAGCGCATCAAACGAGATAACCGCTCGCACTGTCAAGGCTCTAGCAGCGTACACAGAACGCAAACAGCTGTGGCGGCGACCTGACGTTTCACCGAATTTGAAAAGTCGCGTATACTGCATCACTGTACGATCAGTTCTACTTTACGGTTGTGAGACTTGGAATTTGCGAATAGAAGACATTCGTCGTCTAGTGGTTTTCTACAATTGATACTTACGTTCAATGATAATGAGGAATTGTGTGAAAACAGAGTCAAACCGAAGATAGAGAATTCATATACACCAGGGTTGGTATGATAAAGAGCAGATTCACATGTGCCGATGTGTGCTACACTCAACTATATCGCTCAGCATCTCCAACCACCGGTTATCATGATCTCGGGGTCCCCATCCACAGAACATAACGGGTGATACAAACAAGAGACGTCTCCTAAGAGCCTTTGAAGCATTATTATCACTAACTGACGACCTGTCTAAAATATACAAAATACACATGCATAAGATTAGTGGAAAAATACCTCACAATGCGCAAGTCTCACGATCAGGATCAACCCACCTTGTGACAGTGATGTTTCGCATCCAACTCGATGGATTCCTTAGTGGATGCTAAGTACGCCTCCGGTCTGCTCAGTTGAATGAGAATGTTGCTGGGTTTCACATCCCCATGTACCATAGACCAACTGGTGTGCATGTAATGCAATGCACCCAGAATGTGAGCGGTCAAAACAATGAGGGCCTTTTCAGGTAATGCGTTTCGTATGGCATCACTCGGTGAGGAACCGGTTGAGTAGATTGCATCTGCTTGAGCTGAGTGGCGATCATCACAGAGCAATTCCATGGGTGAGGTTACACGAGGTACGGCTTCCGATGTATCCAACTGTCTGTCTGGATGAAGGAAGTGGAACAGACTTCCGCCGAGACAATATTCTAGTTGGGTATAGACTGAGTCCGATTCGTACCAGGAGCCGTAAAACCGGATAATGTTGGGGTGCTGGAGGAGGGCTAGTGCTTGAACTTCGTTTAGCATTTCACCGGAGGAGCTGGACCGGTGGAGGAAAAACCAACAAATTAGATTATTTCGGGATGTTTTAAGGATGAAAAAAACGAAATAATGCTTCATATACCAACATAAATCCCCAGAAGCGCAGCTGTCAACTACATAGTGCGTCCCCAGCTCATCGTTGGTAGGAGACCGGGAATCCAGTTGATGACTAGCNCCGTGAATGCGATCAGACTGAGTGAATATGCTGCGGTGAAAGAGGACACTGTACTTTTGCGCCTGGCAACAGTCCACTACGTAACACGCCACAAGAGTCCAACTACGATACTATGACGTAGCGAATGTGACCCGGTACCAAAATGGTACTCGGCTTTGTCCCGTTCCGTTCACTCGACAACGGATGCGACTGAACTAAACTAATCTAAACCAACCCTGCGTAGGTTGTGCAAGGATAGATTAAGGCTAGAGGAGCGACCTCGAATAACAGGGTAAAAAGGTGCAGGGGACTGCTGGTGAGAGAATCTTTCACTGTATTCCACTGAGGAAACTGATTGCTAGCAAGAAATAGTTAGGTAAAAGTAAATCTTCCCTAGATATTCAATCAATAGTACCTGTCAATCAACACACCTCAGACCTTACAATGACAATTACGCTTGAAAATCTCCCGTCACTACTGAACGAACAGCTTGGTTACAGGTGGTTGTGGCGTGCAAAAAAGAACAGATGGCAAGTGTTTATTTTAGCTCTGGGAATCCAAATGCCCGGTCGGATCGTCGGGGGTGGGGGTTGAAGAACAGATGTAACCACGGCGGGTTCTTCTTCGAATAACTTGTGTTTACAGCTCCTGGTGGGATGTTCTACCCGGTGGATATTTCCACCGTAGTGAGGGTGGAAAACGATCTACGGGTTGAAATCAGGATAACAAGCGGGTACCTCGATTAAGGTTGGAAACCAGTAATTTCAAACCACAGGACGATGCATAAGAGCCTCATCTAGGACTACTGGAAATGCGATCACTGGTTCGACTGGGAAATTGGACGCATTGGGTGAGAGCCGGGCAGTAGGTCATTTGATCTGATTGACGGTATACTAACCACCGACGGATAACAGAATCAAAGCACCTCTCCGCTCGCTGCTTTGAAAATCGAACAACTTGACGAAGGATCGGGATGCGATTCTACCTGGTCGACCTACTCTCCTAGTGTTCGTAATTGCTTTCTTATCGTTTTATAGGACACCTGGTCTGACTCAAATTGAAGAATAAATAACACATTAGGTAACCACAACCTAGCATCAATACAAATTTGCTCAACGTGGAATTAACTGGAAATCAGATTCGTTTTCAGCGCTTCTCAGCGATAGCAAACACCAAAATATTTTCTCATCTGAACGGAGAATATGCTCGAGAAAAGGAAAACGATTTTGGATCATTCAACCTAGGGTCTTGAGGTCAGGTGACATTCAAGATGATTATTTACGCTTGTATGTTCGGCTGATCGTCAAGATCGACCGTTCTGGTCCAACGGACCGAATGTTTTCAAAGCATAGATGGAGGTTTTGAAGATGAATTTCCATCGTTTCTGCATCAGGCGAAGAAGACACCTTGTTAGTTCGATCACTGAGAAGAAATCTTTCAATTCCTTAGTAAAATGAAAATGGGTATGACGTTACTAATTTACAGCTGTAGTTAAAAATGCCAGAATTCATCGTAGGTGAAGGCAATTTGCAATAAGCAGATGTTGATATGACAGCTTTAGCCAAGTGGTTTCGAAATGGCAGCCTTGCCACAAGGCGTGCGGATGTAGTCTTAGGCTACGCATCCTTGCGGCTTGGTGAGCAGCTACGATCTCCCGTACTACACACGGTACTCCCGTAGGTAAGTTAGATAGCTTGTCAATATCCAAAACAACCAGAACCCATATAGGTTTTGAACCTTTTTATTATAAAAAAAAGCAATCAGATGTTTGACTACCGCAAATGATTTAGTTGCAGATCATCAGTTTTTCTCGCTCTCATTCACACACACACACACACACACACACACACACACACACACACACACCTGTGAAAAAATCTCCACGACGATAAGACGATGAAAAACCTCTCAATTCGATGCTATATGCAGTAGGTTTCAGAAGAACACATAAAGCTTACGCATTGTATCGTTGATATTCTGTTTTTCTTATTTTGAAATTTGCACCCAAATCTACAACTTATTCGATCGATAATTTAAGATGGAGGGTTATCTAGGATCGGGCAACTCCCCAATCGAAAGCGATTATTGGCACAGGGTTTTCGATAAACTTTGATGCAGAGCTCGTCAAAATGGAAGATTTATGTACTCACATCTCTCTGATTGTATACGGAAACATGGCTGTTTATGTCCCGTACGATGACGCCATTACATTGCACACTGCTGACATAAAAACAAGAAGGAAACTAGGGTTTCGCGAATTCCTGTACAAACTGAAATGAGTAGCAGACCAGGAACTTCACTAGGAACTAAGTATGACAAAATGGCCGAAGATCCTATATAACTGCGCTAGGTGATAATCTTAACGTACAGATTGGAAAACTGAGCACATCGGAACCATGCCCAGGCTGTTGCTGTGCTTTGACCTGCCGGCGATCGACTTTTTCTTTGTGCACACCACCGCATATTCCTGTCCAGTACCAACTTGAGTCATAGCTCACGACGGACAGCAATGTGTAACCCCAATTCCAGGGGTAAGCTGACTCAAACTGACCGCACGACAGTAAGCTACGATGGACGTGGTTCAGTACAAAATCGTAGGTTCTATTGAACCACCTACATTCAGTCTGATCATTCATTAGTTTTGATGCACTTCACGCTTGAACTCATTTATCACTGAAGAAACCGACACAAGGGATCGGTCAATCATCGCCGGCCTGATTCAGCAGTGTGACCCAAAGCAGGCATGAGTCAAGAGCTGGGCGACGTTGCGGAGTACATGAGCAATGTATTCTGCATTTAGCCTCGCTTGCGGATCCGAGCACAGTAGCCTGCAGCATTGAATACCTCATGAGTCAGTACACCTTACTTACATTACACACATTTTGCGATGAACAACAGGCGCGAAGACTTGCTGTTCAGTGATGGAAATCGATAATCGATGCCCCGGGGCGTGGTGAATCACATAAGGCTGCACTAGGTTATGCGTGGTACCCGAAACGGACTATCTATCGGGGGATCCTAATCAACATTAAAACACCAGCTTCCGTCCTACTTGGACGCCTGATACTATTGGGAGAAACTAATATCTATGAATAACAATTCAGATTTCGACATGGTCGCCGGTGTGTTGATCAAGTCGCACTCGCTAGCGAGCAACCATAGCCGTGCTCCTTGATCTAAAAGAAGCATTTGATTCAGTTGACCTAGGCTTTTTTGGTTCATTTCTTCGCATAGGAATATACTGAAGCATATATTAGGATCGCTGCAACCATACTTCCGGTAGCCTGAAGGTAAATGGTGAGCTAAGAACATCATACGTCACCAGCAGCGGTGATAGTCAAGGGTACTCTATCTAACACTTCCTGATCAACTTCGTGGAAGAAAAAATACAGCAGAACGCAATAAGTGGTCTCCAAATCGTTGGCATTGAATGAGCAGTTGCAGAAGAGCTATGCGATTTACAGTACACTGGCCTGTTCGAATTTATAGAGGATGCGAAAGGGCGCACTTGACAATAACAGGTTCTGTTGTTACGGCTCATATGCACTTTACATCTTCAAATTGTGAAAGAATGCTCGAAGATAGTGCCGTGTTTTGAACCTAGATAGTTAGGAGTAGTTGTAGTTGATTATTTTTCGTGTCTAGGTATTGTAGTAAAGGAGGTAACCGCCCACATTTCCGAGGCACGGGTAATGTATGCAAGACTGAAACAGTTTTGGAGGAAATCACGTGGAGATGATGTATGAAGAAATGCACAGAACAATTAGGTAGAATAGGTATCGGTTGCCTTCTAGACCGAGGCTTGAAAGACTTTGTAACTGGTTGGAGACACTGAAGGATATGGTAGCGAACCGACAGCAGTGGAGTTCTTGCTATCATCAAATGTCATATCCAAATGCTTGAACAGAAGTGTAAGCATAACTAGATTATGTACTCGGTGTTAACAAAGTCTACTGCCTCAAAACAGGTTCACTTCCCTTTCATCTTAAGTACTCGTACGTACTGTCTGTATTTTGAGTTTGGGAGCGATACGTGAAGTTTACCTCACCGTGAT